AAAAATAGAGCAATCCAAATCCAGTGTCAAAAATAATGGTTTCTATTTAAGACATTTTTATTTTACTGCGCATGCGCAAATAAAAAAAAAGTAAAAATTTAAATTTATCAAAAAAATATGTAATTATATGTTCTGTATCCTGCAAAAAAAACCCGAATCAAATTCAAGGTCATGCTTTCGAAATATTTCCTGTTACCTTTAAAATTGAACACACGGTATGTCATAATATGGATTTTAATTAAAATAATAAGTTGAATAATATATATTTGTATTAAGACATTTTAAATTATTTAATTGTTTAAAAATATGCCGGTGTAAATATTATTATTATAATTAATATTAACCAAATACATGATATAAAGGAATATTACAGATACTCTTATATAAATGTAGAGTGCAGAATAAGAAATTTTGTGAACAGGCATGTGACAAGCAGAAGGCCAGAGTAGGCCGAGCACACCCCAAATTCAAAATAATATGAAGTGATAAAAGGGCCAGTAATTATTCTCCCCCCCCCTCCTCTTGTAGACATTTTCTGGCTACATGCATGTTTGTAAATGTGATCCAATAACAATAAATGATCCATACGTAGACAACTAAATTTTAAAATAGAGGATTTAGTAAAGTTTAAGTTATTGAATAGAGTTTTTTTAAGGATACTGAAAATTGTATATATTATACACTCATATATTTGAAAACAATTTACTATGGCCTTTTTCTCTAATTRTATCTATAGATATTAGGCATGTATAATAAAAAATATATTTTTACAAAATATTATATTAATCATTATAATAATAAAAACTAAATACTTAATAATAATAAATAAAAATGTTTATGCATACCTGTATGTCTAATAACAAACTTAGTAAATTCATAAAGTGAATAATCAGAACCATTGTATTTGGCAATAGGTTTTCCATTATGAAAAAGAACTAATGATGGGACTCCAGTTATACCATACATTGTATTAAATCTAAAAATTAAAGTTTTAAATTTAAATAATTATTATAGATTTCAAATAAATTTACATTTATATTTTTATTATTTACCTTTGTTCAGATATAGCATTAAAAGCTACCATTTTAATTTGAGGAAATATTCTTGGAAGTACATTGAAGTGAGGTGCAGCTAAAGTGCTGAATTGACATGATCTAGCATAAAATAACACTAATGAACAGACACCAGATTCACGGCGATTAGTTACTTCAGGATCATATTTTAAGACATATCCAAGTCGTGATGAATTAACAACCTAAAGAATAACTAAAAAATGTAATCCGCCATACATAAATATTTTAATTAATATTCAAAAAAATTATTTTGGTTCTGGTTTGWTATAGCTATGCCACTACACCGTACAAAATTKATCTCYCCACCACTCTTATTAGTTATTGTCCTGCTGTATAGTTAATGTGTAATTATTGTTCACACAACTATTTAACCTAACCTGTCAAATTTTAGYGAATTATTTACAGTTGTAATTAACAATAATTCTGGAATTATATTTTTACAAAATAATAATGTAATTAAAGTTAGTGAAATGAATGAAAATTGGCCATATAAATATTAAATATATAATGTTTGTTAAGGGATCGCGAAGGTGGTGTCAATAAATAAATTGCCGGAAGGAAAGGGGATTGAGAGTTGATAATTAGCTAACTGGTTTTAGAATACCAACACCCACAATTATCCATTTCATATACTACTGGGCCCAGCCCAAGAAATTCGGTAACATTTTGTAAAATATATTTTATTTATGATGGGACGATTACAAACAAGAATATCGGGGACATAAATTTTATACTGTGTACTGACTGGGCATTAACAAACAWGTACCATATTTTCATGAATGTCTTATATTTAGACTCTAGATTAATAACATAATACTGTTGACTAAGTAATTAATTTGTAACCACTAAGTAAATTGTATTTATAACATTAAATTTATAATTTATATTCAGTTGCATAATTATAGGTAGGGATGAAGACATAATTTAAAACTAAAAATTACAATGATAAATATGTAAATAATTTGCTCATAAAAACACTATCCCTATGCACAAAAAAAAAAAAGAACTCTAAATCAAAACTTCAACTCAAATATATAAAAAAAATGATTCCTTTCTTCTAAAAATATTTATTAATTATCTCAACAAATTTTGATTTGCATTGAATATTTGTGTTTTAATTATTTTGATTTTGAATATTTTGGATTTGGTTTCAAAATTTGATTTATTTTTAATATTAAACGWGCACTTGTATAGGTAGGTGTCACCTAGCTATCATTATTATTATTTAACAACAGTATTAAATCTAGAAAATATTACCTCAACTGAAATTTCTGTTTGATTTAAATGTGTAAGTGTAGTACAATTTACAATTCTTGAATTGTTAGCAGCAGTAACATTAGCCAATGGTTCATTAATGGATGGTTGACTAGTATTTGTATTGTCAGTGACAATTTCAGCATATAGAACTGACGATAAAAATGTACTTAATTTAAATTCTTTCCCACCATTACTAGCAGTACTTGTAGTTAAATATGCTTGCATAGTTGGCAAGTAATTATGTTCTTCTTCCATTTTTTTCTAAATAATTTATATGTAAAATCAATTAATAGTTTATATTTTATATCTTGATAGTAAAAATCATACCTGAAAGCTTTTAATGGCATTACTTATTGCTAGGATATCAGTAAAGTCTGTTACTTGCGGTGCAATTGAAACATTTTTTGGAGAATCTGGTTGTTCCAACGGTCCAAATTTACTATCGTCAATGTGTACATTTTCCTCAAATTCAGCTGTAATATATTTTTCAACATTTATTCTTTTATAAAGATTACATTGAATAATTATGTCTTACCCAATGCCAGTCTGCAAACAGATATAAATAACAAAATATGTGGAATGTGCATTGTCTTATCCTTATTAAATATGACACGCTCAATGAGCATGAATCAAAATTAATATTACTGAAAAACTTTTTTGTTTTTTTTTTTTTTTTGGAATTACATAAGTTTATTGGGTAAAGTCAATCAGCTTGAAAATATAACAATTTAATTTTTTACTTGATAGTTCATTGTTCAATACATTATTATAAATTGTGAAACTTCAGTGATTTATTTAGTTATTTCTGAATTTTCAATTTTGCCTTCTGACTCCTGAGTAATGTTTATAATATAATAATAGGTAGTATAATAATATTTGTTATTTATCATTCTGCCTGATAAGTGATAAGTGTTTCCATCATTAAAAACTTGGTAACCACTTTTTTGACATCAATTGTTTTTTTAAACTTTTTGACCACAGCTGATATAGATAATAATATAACCACAACATAACCATATTTAACCAAGATGGATTGATAAAAAATAAYAAGAATTTTTCTCATAGATAGCACTGTTTTGTATACTTTAATAAAATGAGTACAGTAGTCAGACTATAGTACCTATTAATCTTTTATAGAAGATTTTTTTATAATTTTGTTGTTAAATTTTTTACAATCTATTATGATTTATGAATTCGTATTTTTTTATGCCATTTTCCTGTATAATACCATTGCCTACATTTTTTGCATGTACCTATCCTAATTTACTATTAATAACTTCATTATGATTTTAAAATAATATAAATAATTGAGTAAGTATTTCTTCAATAATTCAATCTCGAATCAACAATTTTTATTACAATCTTACTAAACTCCATTCAGTTTAAGTTGACCCGCTTTCGCGCATGCATACTGAGCCGCCGAAACAGTCTGACCCCCCTGGTCGGTGAATGGTGTTCCGTGATTRGTCGCTGCCGTCGCCGATCATCGTTTACGATTGGAGTCGACAGCCACCGCCAGGCATACGACATTGTATACAGAGTATTAAAAAGAATGTCTTGCTYTTATCTTTTATGTATTTATTTTTCATAATATCTGTAGTATTATTCTTAAGTATACACATTTTATACAATTTTAAAACATCGCAATATTTACATACATTTTATACAATTTTTAAAACATCGTCATATTTACATACATTTTATACAATTTTAAAACATCGTCATATTTACATTCATTTTTTTTCAATTTTAAAACATCGGCATATATTTACTGATTATGTGATTTTAGTCAGACTCGGACTCAGAATCTGACGATGTGTCACCGGTAATTGTCAATGTCAAATTTGATGTTTCCGCTGCCAACACTTCGTCTACAATATTGTCTATTTCCCAAAATTTTTTTTCTATTTTTTGTATGCTGTATAAAGTTTTTCCACATTACTTGATCTACTCGTTCTATACCCTCTAATAATAAATTTTTTACATCTGGTAATTTAAAAGTACTATTATTCATTTTTACGTGATTCTTAATAGATGACCACGCGAGTTCAATGGGATTGAGCTCGCAGTGGTAAGGAGGTAGTCTCAAAATTGTTTTATTACTAGCTTTGGCGAGTTCGTCTATCACATACTTGTTATGAAGTGGCTTGATTCTTTTAACAATTTCCAATAATTCTGGGATAACCATGGTATAATCAACGACCTCGCCTTTATCTTCTAACCATTTTATTATATCGGCCTTCCTTGTAGACGATGTCGGTGATTTGTCTTTCTTTACCGAGTGATACGGCGCGTTGTCCATCACTATAACACAGTTGTCTCGCAGTTGAGGTAAAATGTTTTCCATCCAATCATAAAATGTCTGACCGTTCATCTCATCATGATAATCCCGTGAATTTTTTTTCGATTCAAAACATAACAACCCACCGGGAACAAATCCATCTTCGGAACCGATGTGTAGAACAATAAGGCATTCGCCAGCATTTACCCATGTCTCGTCTAAATAATAAATGTGACGACCCTGTTCTCGGTATTCTCGTATTGCCCGTAAATGTCGTCTACGCCATACAACGATTTCGTTTTTTTCAGTTAGAGCACTATTACGACTGCGCTTACAATAACGGAAATCCAGATCTTTAATAAGTTTGAACAAACTAGTTCGCGATATAGCCGGTAAACTTTTGTCATCAGAAACTTCTTTATGTATTTTATCGATGGTTGGAATTTCACGTCGAAACCAAATATTATGGACATGTCTACGGACTGCGTTTCTCGAAAAGTCATCGTATAAATGGAAAACATTTTCTCTTACCCTTTTGCGTTTCGGAGAAGTCACTGTACTTGTCTCCTTGTATACATTAATTGTCCTGTGCACAGTTGACTCGCTAATTCCCATATTTTTTGAAATGATCTGTCTCATACTCCTCATGGACATGTTGGGATCTTCCTCCAAATTTGCCTTGTACATGTTTATAATCCTTAAACGTTCGGAAGAACTAATTATCTAAAAAACAAAATATTTTTATTTTTTAAATATGTAAATATGTATAWAWATGTACCAATAGTTCAGGAAATATATTGGAAAAACATGTTGTATAAGTTAAACAAAAGAAATAAATGAAAAAAATGAATAAAAACTAGGACTTAACATCTAATTCTTAAATATATTTTGCATAATACTCACTTTTCCTCGTTTATTTTTTTTTATTGGTGATGGAAATAATTTGACTGACGGGCCTGCAGTCTCTGTGTTGCCACTATTATCCATTGTTACAAATAAATTGTAGATAAAAATAAAAATTAGGTTTCAATAAAATGTTCAAACGAATCAGCGGAGTGTACAGGAATATACGTGTACGCGCGGAGTAGCAAAAACGTTGTGTTAATATAACACACGGTGTATAGTGTCATATTCACCAGGTGGTAATGCGACATTGGACACTAGCGCTGCGAGACATGCGCGACCAAAACCAGTTTTCGTCTGRCGAGTGGGTCAACTTAAACTGAATAGAGTTTAGTTGAAAAAATCTGTGATTTGTGRACGCCATGTAGGGAATAGGTATCTATATTTTAATAATGATATTTATTATGAACATATATTTTTTATAGGTAGGATTTGTACGGTATACCATGGGTGGCCACTGGACACCGATAACATAGTTAATAGGCGCACAAAATATCTAATTTAAAATAATATGACGATAAAAAAAGCGGGTAAGTCGTGGATATCGTTCTGCTGTACAGTAGGTTACTGTAATGGATGAGATTAAATTTGAATGCGATGATAGGTATCATTGTCTACGAAAAACGATTCTGAACGGAGACGATTTGTCAGTCTAGGATATATTATATTTAAATATTGTCAGATATTCTATTTTGAAACAAATATTTTATTTTTCAATTAARWCGCATWWNGCATAAGGCATGGTTAATCAATTAGTGTAGTTATCATGTAGTTATCATAATTCATAATACCTTATATTATCATAGATATAC